AACAAAAAAAATCAACATAGGACATGTGCACATGGAGGTTTCGCAGAACATCGGAAGTTGCTAACAAATAAAAATATTCTACTTAAAACAAGAAAAACATTTTTAGACGCACTAGTCCGTTCCAAGCTTACATATGGGTGCCATGCATGGCGCCCAACGAAAATCGAATTAAAATTAAGTTAGATAGAAGCCACATATACATATTTTCTCAGATCAATGATACCTAATGGATTCAAACGAAAGCAGAACACCGCTAACAATGATGACGAAAATTGGGCCTTACATTTAACTAATCATCAAGTACATACACTAAGCAATAATACACAGACGATTGAACAATTCTACAGATCCCAGCAAACTAAATGGGTTTCGCATGTAATAAAAGAAAATAATCATCCTTGTAAAATGCTTACTTTTTATACAAATAAAACAACAACAAAAAAGGCAGAACACCATCCATTATTGATAATGCCATTAACTACTCAGAAGTATCCAGATCACAATTCATCAGAAATTCATTTAAACAGAACTAATACATTATCAATTTGTCTCATCAACTATCTGTGGATCAGTGGTGACATAGTTGTTACGGCGATTAGATAAGGAAATATCGAAAAGTAAATAAAAGAAAGGACAAGGACATCTAAGAAAGGAGAAGGAAGGAAAGATAAGAAAGCGAAAACAAGTAAGGAAAGGAAAGAAAATATAAGATAAGAAAGAAAAAGGAAAGAAAAGATAAGGAAATATAAGAACGAAAGGAAAGAAAAGCCTACAAGGAAACATAAGAAAGAAAAAGAAAGAAACAACAATGAATTGTAAGAAAGGAAACATAAGAACGAAAAAGAAGAGAAGCAACAAAGAATTGCAAGAAAAGAAATGAAAAGAAAAGATAAGAAAATAAGAAAGGAAAAGAAAGATAAGGAAAAATAAGAAAGGAAAAGGTACGGAAATATAAGAAAGAAAGAAAGAAAAAGGATAGAAAAGAAAAGGAAATAAGAAAGAACAGGAAAGAAAAGATAAGGAAAACATAAGAAAGGAAATAAGAAAGAAAGAAAGAAAGAAAGAAAGAAAAAGGATAGAAAAGAAAAGATAAGAAAGAACAGGAAAGAAAAGATAAGGAAACATAAGAAAGGAAATAAGAAAGAAAAGGAAAGGAAAGAGAAGGAAATGTAAGAAAGGAAAAGAAAAGAAAAAAAATGGAAAGGTAAGGAATATGAGAAAGGAAAGGAAATGAACAGAAAGATAAGACAAGATGAAAAAAAGGTAAAGAAAAGATGGCCTTTCATATCGCCATACCTCTGATCCTCAGTTACCTAGAGTGATTAGAAAGCAAATGAATAGCCAAAATAAAAAAAAAAAAAATACATATAATTAAATAAATATATCAAGTCAAAATAAAAACTGATGAATTGTGATGCTGCAATTAAAAAATAATAAACAGTCCATATACCGTAAAATCCTTATTGAATAAGAAAGCGAGACTTTTCTTTTTTATTTCTTTAGGCCTACACTAATATCCTAATATCACTATTAACAATAAGTTCTACTGTTTTGTTTGCTTAAGTGTCAACATAATTAATTTACGTCAATGACCACCGTATATTCTGTTAGCAGAATGGTTAAAATTAATAATAATAAATATATTGCATGGGTTGCGTATTTGCATTGAGAATGTACTTACATGTTGGGCCATGTGGGCCTTGTATTCAATTTTTTGAATAAGGTGTGCTACATACAAAAAAAACACGAATGTATTTACATTGAATTGAAATTAACTGCAGGTTTCAAGGTATACGGTATGACATAAATCAACATACAAGAGAAGATAAAAATGTATAAAATATGACAATTATATGATATATATAATAATACTTTAATAATAATACTTTATTTGAAAAACTACGCATTTCCATCGGCGGCACACGTCACGCGTAGCAATTGACGGTGCGTTCATGAAGAAAAACATTTAACAGCAGTGTAGAGAAAACATAGCAATGTACAATACGGTACATAAAAAACGATTTTTTAAAAAAAAAGTACTCATTAGTCAAACACCGTGTTTACAATTAGAACGAAGTAAGGGACAATTTCGTTCATATAAACGAGTATTCATTAAAAATTAGGTTTCACAATGCATACGTTTTCTCTGTAGCCATGCTATTTTTAAATACGAGATAGAAAGATCGTTCGTAAATTTGCTAGAGTTTCCAAGAAGTATATATTATTTTAATCGTAACAGAAGAGGAATTGGTCAATTCGACAAGGACTACGTTTGCGTTTATGACATATGATGTTGGATAAAAGTTTCGCCCTAAGTAGTTATAGACCTAATGCGGGACCTAATATTCCGTACTGCAACTATTAACGTTTTTTTTAATCATCAAGAAAACTTGTAGACATACAGCACCATTTCTCGACACAAATTGATGTCATTTGTAAGCTAAAGCTAGTATCAACAAGGAGAAAACTATCAGAGAAACCAAGACCAGTCTGATAAGCATCTACATAATACGGTAGCCAATGCCCGAAGTAGGCCACGGTTAGTGAATAGGCCTACTTCCTGGTGGGTGCGTGAACTTTTCCTGTAGCCTACATCTAACCGCTAATCAGTGACTGTACATACCTATATAAAACACAGATCATTAATTTATACACTGAAACAATACAATGGTACCGATTAACAACTAACCAAGGGGAAATGGCAATTGAAGGATACATTAATGAATAATCGTAAAAATCAAAGGAAGAAATCAATTAAAATAGCTTCATTCAATCGGGAAGTCTGCTTCCAATATCTACCATTCAGTAATGTTTTATATGGTCTGTGGTTTTATAATACGCGGTTAAAAAACTCGTTATGTCTACAGCGTAAATTTTATAACAAATGGAGAGTCAACTGAAAAGAAGAAGTTTGTCTAAAGAGCTGGAAATGGCACAATCCATATGGCATAATCCATCTGATTTACTTGCACCGAGCAAATTCAAAGGACCACTGCGCCGCGACATATTCGAAACTGGACATAATTTAGCAATAAAGTCAACAGTTTTCTTTACAAATGGTTTACATACGGATGAGATATGAGTTTGTTCAGCCAACTGCGAGATATACACTTTAAGCATAATGTCCGACACGATTGATTAACGTTAGTGATGAAAGAAGTGTTGTTGTGGCTAACATCACACGCATTTACTTTCAATAAACACAGAAAATCTACAATTAATTCATACCGTCCGCAAGTCGCCGTCTGATGGTAGTTTAATTGTAAAAGCAAATATAATAATAAACTTTAAAGAGAATCACAGAATAATGTATGGTTCTTCGGTTTAATTTTATTTTAGTGCAGTAATGTCGATCCATAGGTTTATAAAATTGTATGTTTTAACCTAGAACAATTATATCAATATTCAAATTCGATTTGCATCTCTAAGGTGACACTTTTAATTAAATCAGAAAATACTCTTCTCCGAAGCACCTTTCCGGAGTTTTAATTAGAAAACACGGCCAGGAATCGCACTGTCCCACAAAACAAATGTGTTGTACTACAACGCACGTTAATGCCGTCGTTTTTCATAGGACCTTAGCAATAGCATTGCCCGAGGGTCGGAACTTGGCAGAAAGGCCCATTAACAGGAGCATCTTCTATGTAAATGTTTAAATTGACTGGTAATCAATATATAGATTTTCTTACTGTAAATCAAACTTATTTATTTTCTCTCTGTCTTCGTTGGAAGTTAATACCTTTGTTGATCTTTCAAAAGAGTGATAATGCTTTTAAACCTCTTTTTAGGGGATATATATCATAGGCGGTGCGTTGTATACACGTAATAAGTTCCACGTAGGGCCTATGTCTTGATAATATAAAATAATTACGTTTAGGCCTACACAAATTAAAAACGTATACGTTGACATTATATACATAAACAATACTAAACAATAGCTAATATTAGCAATGGCATTACCCAAGGGTCGGAACTTGGCAGAAAGAACCATTAACAGGCGCATCATCTATGTAAACGTTTAAATTGACTGGTTATCAATATATAGATTTTCTTACTGTAAATCAAACTTATTTATTTTCTCTCTGTCTTCGTTGGAAGTTAATACCTTTGTTGGTCTTTCGAAAGAGTGATAAATGCTTTAATAACTTTTTTAGGGGATAAATATCATCACAGGCGGTGCGTTGTATACGTAATAAGTTCCACGTATGTTCTGATAATATAAAATAAGTACGATTACAAATATGATGATGATGATGATAATGACTGTCTCTTATACACATCTAGATGTGTATAAGAGACAGGGTGTTAGTGTGTGTGTAATATACACGTGAATACATATAAACGTGCATGTGTGTGTGTATGTACAGCAGGCAAATAAGACTGCGGAAAAGTGGTAAAATATTGCAAAAAATAATTTATTAAGTATACATCAAGGAGTAATTTAATGTACTTATCAATCCATGATTAAGCCGTTGGTATCACATGCGAAACATCTAAAACGACATTTTGAATACTTCCACTCAGATTAACAAAAATCAACTAAAAATATAACCGTATATTATGTCTGGAAATTAAATATATTTGAAAACGATTCTTTGATTATTTCTACTTTCATCAGATCCAAAAGTTGACCTAGCCTGCTATTTCATTTAACTAAAACCACATTATGAAGACAAGTTCAATCAGTATATGGTTTAATATATTCAACGAGTGGACCCTAAATAATGCCATGTTGCAAATATTGCATGTGTATAAAAAACCAACAAGATCGATGATGCAAGCATTTACAAAAAAATAAACTGTTAGGTGTCAGATGCACTTTGATTGACTAATTTTAAACCACTTTTAAATGTAACTTTAAATCACCGCAGTTTGTTTCGATCTTAACTGTTATCTACAGTTGTAGCAGTGTAGGCCTAGAAAGACGACTGAAACAGCCGTAGAGGGCGCAAATATAGTTTAAAGTAAGGGATAACTGAATTTTCAAAAACATAAACTAAATTGTTTTCGTATAAATTTATTTCTTCCCAGAAAAAAATTCTTGCAAGTATTAAATATATTTAGTAGAGGGAGCAAATATAGTTTAAAGTAAGGGATAACAGAATTTTCTAAAATATAATCTAAATTGATTTTGTATAAATTTATTTCTCAGCCAAGAAAAAATTCTTGCAAGTATTAAATTTATTTAGTTCAGAAGTTGTGAATGTGTGAAATAAAATGAGGTTACATTAACCGATGATGCACCACTCCTGTTTATGAATTTAGTATGCTGATTTAAAATTATTATTCCATTCCATTTGATAAATCAATTTTTTAATTTTGCATAATGTTCTTAAAAATATGTTCAATCAAACCAATCTTAATCATTGATTAAGAAGTCTCATACGTAGCATGCTACCATCTGTCATTGTTAGTCCGTTTTCTAGGACCACGGTTTTCCGGTATTTGCCAATTTCTCCGATGTGATCTGCCTTGATTTTCTGGGTATTTATGATGACGGAAAAATTCTACACAGTTTTCAGACTCGTATGTGTCTGTATAATTGTCTCTAGGATAATCTCTGCTAGAAACATTTCGAGGAAAATATTCACTGCTATAAGGCTTTTGCGGAGGGTAGTGGTTATATCTTATATCCCTCTGTTGGTAAGTAGTATATTCTGGTATGTGAAATGTTCTCGTACTATGATTGGGATTTTTACATGTAGTATATGCATGTCCATCTATTGATCTGTCGGGCTGTCGTCCTGTCTTTCTCCAATGTCTGTCTGTCTGTCTATTGTTGTGTCTGTCTGTCCGTCTATCGTTGTGTCTGTCTGTCCATCTATCGTTGTGTCTGTCTGTCCATCTATCGTTGTGTCTGTCTGTCCATCTATCGTTGTATCTGCCTGTCCAATCGTCATTCTGTCTCTCTGTCCATTCATCATCATATGTCTCTCTCCATCTCTTACATCTGTCTGTCTGTCTATCATTGTGTCTGTCTAGCCCTTTGCAGTGCCTTTTTGCATCTGTTTCATAACAACTATCTGGTGATATTTGTCTTCGTGTTCTCTTGCATTGTTCTTCTCTTGTTTCTTCTGAAGCCTCAAAATGAATGGTACTAAAAACATACAAAAAAACACTATGCTAAGATCCTAATACAGAACTGAAGACAAATACATATGAATCACAGGGCCAAGGGTGAGAAAGTGTTCCTTGCCAGAAAGTGGCTGAGGGTGGGCTGTAATAGGTAAACATCCTTTCCTATCGAAAAACAATTTATGAACATTTAGGCTGAAAAACTGCTTTATAGGCAATGTCAATAATAATAATAATAATAATAATAATAATAATAATAATAATAATGATAATGATGTTGATGATAATGATGATGATAATGGTGATGATGATAATGGTGATAATGATAATGGTGATGATGATGATAATGATGATAACGATGATGATGATGATGATGATAATGATGATGATGAATTTTATATATATTCCATTAAAAGATAACAAATCAGTATTTTGACTTCAAGTATTTTGTTAGTTGAGTTTTAAAATCATAAATGGTTGAGGACAGCTGAATTTGAACAGGAAGTTGTTCACAAAGTTTTGGAAGAATTACAAAAAAAGGATGAGTTTAAAAATATTGGTCTTGGCCTTCCAATGTACTAAACACCCATCACACCTATCATTGGACTTCACAAAATCATTAAAGACGAAGGGGCAGTAGCCATGAATAATCCTAAAAACTACCATCAAAAAGAATATATATTTTGTGTTTTTTCACACCATGAGTAAGCAATACTGGGTTTGGTGTACAAGGGTGTATGATTTGTAAAAGTCATCAGAGGCGTATCCAGAGATGCAAGAAAGGAGGGGGGGGGGGGAAGGGCCGAAATGGGGCAGATCGAGGAAAAA